TTTTTTTTTTGGCGGAACTGGGGATTGAACTCAGGCCCTTGTGCTTGCCAAGGAAGCACTTATTCCACTGAGCCATCTCCCCAGCCCCAAGGCTGTTTTCGAGAAGAAAGGTTCTTAGATGATTTCCAATTACTACCCTTATGAGTTGCTAATGAACAAGAGAAAATGCCTTATAATAGATTAACACTTTACATGAAAAAATGTCTATTTTTCTCCTTCTGTGAATTTCCTAGCTTAAAGAGTCCAGAAGCAAAGGTATCTCTGTAACTGTGAACACCCGGATGCCCTCACCTTGCTTTCTAAATGCCATTCTCAGGGCCAGTGAGATAGCTCAGCAGACTAAGCACCTGCTTCGGCAAGTGCAGCGTTTGATTCCCTGTACTGCATGCTGTGTCAGCCCCACTCTTGAGCGCGCTGACCTGCAACTGAGTCTGGCCACGGTGGCTTACGCCTGTAATCCCCGCACTGTGGAGGCTGAAAACAGGAGGATCACTACAAGTCCAAGCTGTGTAGCGAGACTCTGTACCAACTTAAAATTAAAAATAAATAAATAAAAAATGCCATTCTGCAAAAAAAAGGTTTCTTGAGACATCTCTGACCCAGGCACGGAGCAGGGAATGAACGCACCAGGTGCACCCAGGACACCCTGTGCCAAAAAAGCAGGGATGCCTCGAGTACTACTGCCGAAAGGCCGAAGAAACTGCCTGCAGGGGCTCCTGGCCAGCGCACGGGCGAGCTGCAGTGCAGAGGGAACACGGGCTGCAATCCACTGGATGCACTGAAACACCGAACTCCAGCAGCCCCTCAGGGGGGAGGCTGGCACAGGAGGGGGAAAAGAACGTAAAGATCTTTACAGAACACTGAAAAAGCATCAGAACAATCCCAGTTTGGCATTGTCCATAATTTACAGCTGATTCTCAAATGGCTCATCAAAACATCAGATGAGAGGTCTTAGGGTTCCCACGTGTCAAAGTGTCACCCTATAATGTTCTGTACTTAACTACAGGGAGAAAATGCGTCTTTAAAATGGGGACTTGGGGGCAAAGGGGAACACCCTTAAACCAGAGACCAAGGAGTATCTCCCCTAATGACATAAAACCAAAAACAAAGAGCCCCCACCTGTCTGACACAGCTCAGTGGGCTCGCAGCCCATGGCAGGAACACAGGAGTGGCTTCCACCGCCAAGGCAGAAGTCACACGGGGCACCCAGTGAAGCCTGTGCCTTTGTGGGCTGAGACCTGCACTGAGGCTGGGGACCCAGCCCGCCCTACCTTTCTCTCCTAACAGGGAGGGGACAGCTCTGTTTCCAGGGATCCCTGTCTGGTGCAGGTGACCCTTCTGTGTTTCCCTGGCCCGATTATTCTCCACCCCCTACTCTTCCCTTTCAGAAGTCTCCTGGAGGGCAAGAAATACGTCTTATTCATTATAACCCAAATACATTGCACAATTCTTGACGGAAAACACATTTGGTGAAGGAACAAATGTTTAAATGAACACATGAAGAACAAGCAAATAAAACCTGCTCATGTGGTTTCCAATTGTACAGTTTATTTCCAACTTTACAGTTCCCAATTTTTCTCTTTTCTGACACATTTGCAAGTGGCAAGGAGTTATAAAGGCAGGTATGTGACAGCAGTTACAAGTTTCAACCAATACTCTAATTACAAAGGAGCCAAGAGGAAGACTGTAAAGTTTGTATCTGTGTGTCTTCAGGTGCCTGGAGCCATTAGTTACAGACTCAAGACAAACACCCTTGAGACGCACTGACAGTGTTATAGCTGTCAAATACTTGAAAATGCCACCCTGTTGTACAGAGGAAAAAATATCTTTAAAAACTAGGGGAATGCTCAATATATGTTAGTGCCATTGAAGGGAGGACTCAATATATTTTAAGGAGGAAATACTAAATTGGGAATGATTTAAAAGTTGTTTTTTTTTTTTAAATGAATTGAGGACAGGGTCTACAGCATATACAGGGTTGGACTCGTACTGCTCCTGCTGTTTTCAGCCTTCCAAGTGCTGGGATTACAGGCATGCATCAGTCGCAATCACTATCTCAAGGCACCCTGGGGGTGGGGCTGGCATGGCATGCAGGGATTGAACCCTGGCCGCTGCGCTCTGCCAAAGCAGGTGCTTTAGTCCGCTGAGCTATCTGGCCAGTGCTTAAAATAGTCTTGACTGTCCTAAGAGTAAACCTTCAGGGACACTTCATTTATGCAAAGGACATCCTGGCGATTGTGGAATGCCTGAATTTGTTTATCTGTAATGGGTGCATAGCTCCATGGTCCTCCCTTTCCAGATGCCTGCAGAGAACAGTGGTGGGACAGTATGTCTGTGTCCCCACACTGTCATTTAAGAGCTCTCAGGCATGGACCCTTCTGCATTCTCTGAACAAGCCAGTGCTCTGTGACTCCAGGACCATCCTGTGTGACTTGGGCTCTATCCCCCTGCACACACTCTGAGTGATGAGCCCTGCTGTCTTTCAGGTCTCAGCTTAGACGGCCCTTCCTCTAGGGTCCACAGCATGCTGGGTACTTTCTGAGAAGCTTTACCAATTGCAACGGCGGCCTCGATGCAGGAACTGCATCTGCTTTGTTTGCCATGCCACAGCCCATGGCCAAGGACAGTGCCTGACACAACCATGGTCCATAAAAGTTTTCAGAATTCATTGGATGCCTCCTAGCAGAGGGATCATTCCAGCGCAGACACCAGGAAAAGCCTGTAGAGCTATGGTGATGTCAAAGTCACCCATTACAAGAGCCTGCACCACATGAAGGAGGCCAACAAAAGGGGTCATCCTCCCCAAGAGACTTCTTCCTTAGTTTCTCTCTGAAGCTGCCTGCTGTTACTAGGCAGGCTCCTCACCCGTGGGCACATACAGTCAGTCAGTGCCTGTGTGGGGAAGTGGCTCGTCCTGGGCTGTCCAAGTCTCTGCCATGCTCACTCACCTCTTCTGAGGCACAGAGGCCTGCACAGGGGCTTTCCTAGGGCAGCTCTCCACAAGGGAGGGCAGCACCATGTGAGGTTGGTTGCAGTAACCAAGCACAGCTTGTCAGACACACTCATGTTCTTAGCCACTGCCTTATCCCGTCTGACCTCAATTCAAAGGAAACATGGAAGGAACAGAAGCTAACTGCTTATACATCAGGGCCACTGCTAATCATGTTTTCAAGGCACGGAATGCTGCCTGAAAAAGAAAGTACAAGTGTTTGACGAGGAGAAGAGGAGGAGGAGGAGGAGGAGAAGGAGGAGGAGAAAGAGGAGGAGAAGGAGGAGAGGGAGGAGGAGAGGAGGGGGAGAGGGAGGGGGAAAGGGAGGAGGAGGGGGAGAAGGAAGAGGAGCTTTGGCATGGGCGGGGAGGAGTGACAAAGCCCCATAGGAAGCTGGCTGCGAGACTCATGGGGGCCTGCAGTGCCACGCCCCAGGTGGCTCACCTCAGTGGGGACAGAGCTGTTTCTGTGGTCACTGATGTGAGCAAGGTTCTTGCCTTGAGGAAACTCCCCTGCTGCTGAGCCCCACCTAAATCTGCTTGTGTGGGTCTTGCTTTCCAGGCTGTTTCCAGAGGCCCCGCCTTCACCATGGCATCTGTGTCTCTCCAGTTCTGTAAAAGTCATTTGGAGCCTAGGGCGCAGGTTCTCCCCCTGGGCCACACTGATGTCCTTTATGGATGAACGCCCCCAAGACAGGAAAGAGAAAGGCAGGAGAAGCAGACTCGGCGTCCTCGGGTGCTGCTTCACACGCGAGCACACGCAGCCACAGGCAGAAGATAGTCCTCTCCCCAGTCCCCTAGTGGGCGACGTGGTGCAGACAGTACAAAGGAGGAGTGGAACAGGATGCATATTTGAAAACTCAGTAACAGATCAATTCAATAATCAGTTGCTGATATTTAACATTAGAGGGGTTTTGAAATTCTACTAAGTTGTCTGGAGACAAAATGACAGCAGGAAATAGATAAGGCCTTAGGAGGCCGGCATTAATTAACTGTACATCTGTACCCCTCTAATGAATAAATACAAAGGAATTAAAAAAAATAGGAAAGATGGCTGGAAAGATGCTAGGATTATCAGGGTAAGGTTTTTTTTTTTTTTTTTTTTTTTTTTGTGGAACCGGGGATTGAACTGAGGACCTTGAGCTTGCCAGGCAAGTGCTTATTCTACTGAGCCATCTCCCCAGCCCAGGGTAAGGGGTTTTAAATCCACAATTCAGGACTAAACCCGAAGCTAGTTTTCACAAGAATGTAGACTGAGCACTTTGAACACTGAAAGCTACAATTTGGAATGAAGTAATTTATTCCTCCACTACTGCACATGATTCTCAAACACTAAGAAATAATGTAGGTAAACACACACAACACAAAAAGATGAAACCACTTGGCCTCCTTATAGTCAACAATTTCATTACTTATTAGAATGAATAACGGTGACAATTTCCTACGGCATATGTCATATTGTCACATCCTATAGACAGTTTGGAATGACTTTTTATTCCCTTTATAGGTTTCACT